CTTCAACAGGAGCTTAAGGATTGCTCCCAGCATTGTATTTATCTCATGGAAAATCCTTATCAGGGCCCCAAGGGACAACATCTCCTGCTCCAGGAGCTTTCCTGCTTCCCTCAGGGGATTTCTAGCTGGGAAAGGCAAAATGATAATATTTTATACATTAACACTCTGCTGTTATTTGAGAATTCCTGTGTGTTTGCTGCTTGCTGAGCCTTGGGGCTGTGCTGGAAGGAATTACAGAAATATTCCACTTAGAGGTGCTGGGAAGAGGGGGAGACAGGTTTGTGACCAGCTGGTGAGCGCTGCTGAAATTCTAAGCAGGTGAAAACAGATTTTTTTATTATTATTATTTTTTTTTTGGTCTCCTGTGTAACTCACCCAGACGGAATCTTCCCCTTCTTGGTTTCTGCTTGGCACAAAGTGAGGTCTCTAAATCAGGAGAGACCATTTAGGCTGAAATATTCCACTGCTCTCCCTCAGTGCTGGGAGGGAGAGAACAATGGCAGGGAAAGATGAATGCTTCTTGCTCTTTAATTGACTCTAATAGGCTATAAATACATTTTTTTCCCTCAACTACAGGAGCAGAATGAAAGGCTTCTGGTAAAACTGGTTTTTCACTTAAAAAAAAAAAAAAACAACCTGCTCTTTGGAAAAGCTTCTGCACAGAGACACCTGTGGAAATCCCCTGGAGTAGTTTTAAGGCATTTTAATTCCTAATAAAAGCTTTCAGTTCAGGGGCTGCGTTGATGCAGGGTTACAGAGTTGGAAATGGCATTTCAAGTTGAGTCATTTTGCAAACCTCCTTTTATTTTTTTTTTTTTACCTTCAGTGTTGAACTTGATGAGCTCAGTAAAATCCAAAATGCAGCATTTTGCTGTATCAAAAAATGAGCAGTTCAACACCTGTGTAAATGCAGAGGGCTTATGACACTCTGAGCATTATTTTTAGGGTTATTGCTCTTCTTCTCTCTTCTGCCTGTTTATGCCAATATAAAAAATGATCCCTTTTGCTTAGATTTGATTACAGGGACATAAAAAAATCGTACAGTTAATCCTGCTTGGGTGAAATGCACCTGGCTGGCCTTCAAATGCAATCCCTGCTCACAAAATTTAGGGAAAAAAATTGTAATTTGGGACCTGGGGTTTTCTGCATTGTTACCTGGTAATGGCCAAGTCTTTTCAGGCATTTAAAACCTATTTTTTTACAGACCTCCATTCCATACTCAGCTCATCTCTGTTAATAGTTCCACCCAATTAGCATCAAAATCAGGTGAAACCTCGACATCCCTTAATTTTTTTTTCTAGCACTTCGATCTCACCCATTTTGCTTTGTGCCATGTACTAAACCCTGCCCTTTGGTAAATTCAAATATTAGACATGAAGGTCCTTTCCTGGTGCTGTTGGTCGGAATTATTGTGTCTGTGCCTCTCCCGTTTTTGTGGGATCCATCCCCCCTGAAGCAGCTCCAGCTCCCCGTGTGTCAGAGCTGCCAGGAATTGCACCAAGCTCCTGCTCCGGGCCTCATTTGCACTTCCATCTCCCCACTAATCCTGATTTTTCTCCTAAAATAGGCAATGATTGACTTTCTAATTGAGATTCAGGGTTTGTGTACGTGCAGTTTAAATGCTGATGCTTTTCTTTTTGCCGCAGGAATAATTCCTGTGCTCTCATTATTCCTGATATTCTTAATTTTGGGGGGGGGTGTGTGTGGTTGTCAGAGCAAATGTTCAGGGTGGGATAACCCAGCCCAGCTGGGATTTTTTATTTCCATATCAAATGTGGGAAATTTGGCGACTCCACAACCTCTCAGGACACCCTGTTTGACCAGAAAAAAAAAACCCTTTTTATTTAAGTTTCAATGGAATATCCTGCATTTCAGTCTGTGCCCATTCAGGATAAACAGAAATTGTTGACTTGGTGTGTTCACTTGGAAAATTGTCCTGAGACTTCTCTGATCTTTGATGGAATTATCGACAAATAATTGATAAATCCAGAGGAATTGCACTCATTTGCTGGGGGAGCATCTGCAAATAACTTAATGCACCAAAATTTGGTGTTAAGAGGAAAAATTCTCTTGGGAAAGGAAAGGGAATTGAACACATTGTCCCACAATGGACATTTTAGAACTTTCCTCCCCCCCTGTACAGAGCAGCTCCCAGAAAAAGCCAAAAGTGCAAAATTCAGCATCATTTACAAAAGGAAAATTTGCTTTGGATGTTTTTTGGTTTTTTTTTTTCCCCATCAGTTAAAAACTGTGGGCAAATTTGGGTTCAGGTTGCTGAAGAATGAGGGATTTCAGCAATTCCTGGTGGGATTTTTATATCAGGGGGGTGCTTTTTAGTGAGCAGAGAAAAATGGGATTTTTGTGGTTAATAATCTCTGCGAGTATATTTCATTGTAGATATTTTACAATGTATTCTCTCTATATGAAATATTAATTTTCCATGGTAGGACGAAATACCCTCGAGTCAATTAAGGTATTAAAGTCAATCCTTTATTTAATTTGCTTCAAACTGGAAAAGCAGATTCCCAGGGGATGCTGGAGTTCCAGTTTTACACAAGTGGCCATGGAATTCTTTCCTGTGGGCTGATGAGGAGGAAAACTGGAAAAATCAAATTCCTGAGCTCAGGTGTTCCCCAGGAGCGCAAAAATCCCCCCAAAAATCCAAGAGAACAAATCTGTTCTCACCTTAAACATGAATTCCTGGATTTGGGATAAAATAATCCGTGTGCAGTGTGCCTTCTGGCCTTCCTGGGAAAAAAACAGCTCTTCAAACGTAATGGTAATTAATAATTAATTAATTACCCGGTGCTCCTGTGGGCAGTTCCTTTGGTTTTCCAGGAGAAATTCCCTGGTGCCACTTGGGATCAGCGTGCAGGAACGTGGAACACGACCCCAGGGATATTTTGAGATTGCAATTTAATCTCTGATTGACTTTGGAAAATGAAATTCAACCCTGGGAAGAGCCTGGAGCAGAGCAGGGGGGATTTCTGGTCACTCCCAAACCTGGAATAAAACAACTTTATTATCATTTATTTATATATATATATATATTTTTTTTTTTTTTCTGCTTGAAAACTGGAGCACGGAGCCCTTGCTGCTGTGTCAGGGAGGGAAAGCTGAAAAAAAAAAACCAAATTAAAGCTGGTAAATTAATTACCAAATTACATTTCTCTGCCAGAAAAAGGGAATTTCTATTTTCTGTCCCAAGGGGAGGGATGGTGGTGCTGGAAATCAGGAGTGCAGCTGTTCCCAGATGTTCTCAGGGGTTTTACTCCACCCTTCCTCCAGCTTTCCACAGCTCCAGCGTCAGCCCAACCGTGCCCCCTTGTGTCAATCCCTCTGCTCCAATCCTGAGCAGGGAATTTAAGGAATTTTTTGGGGTTTGTGTATCAATATTTATGGCTTGGTGGTGTACCAAGGGCAGTGATTCCACTCCGTGCTTTCAAATGTTTAAAAAAAAAAACCCACAGATTAAATTTGTTTCTGCTCTGCCACGCAGTGCTTTAAAAGTCAGAATAAACACATTAAATTTTATATCACCTTGCCACGTGGTGATTTAAGATTTAGAGTAAACACGTTAAATTTGATTTCTCTTTGTCACGCGGCGCTTTAAAATTTAGAATAAAAATTTAGAATAAACACATTGAATTTGATCCTGCTCTGCCACGTGGTGCTTTAAAATCTAGAATAAACACATTAAATCTGATTCCGCTCTGTGGCTTTGTGCTTTAAAATTTAGAATAAACGTATTAAACTTGATTTCACTTTGCCACGTGGTGCTTTAAAATTTCGAATAAAAATTCAGAATAAACACATTGAATTTCATTCTTCTTCACCACAGGATGCTTTAAAATCTACAATAAAAATTTAGAATAAACACATTAAATTTGATTCTACTTTGCCAGTTTGTTTTAAAATATAAAATAAAAATTTCGAATAAACATATTAATTTTGATTCCGCTTTGCCAATTGGTGCTCAAAAATTTAGAATAAAAATTTAGAATAAACACATTTAATTTAATTCCACTTTGCCAGTTTGTCCTTAAAAATTTAGAATAAATACATTGAATTTGATTTCCCTTTGCCATGTGATGCTTTAAAATTTAGTATAAAAAAAAATTTAGAATAAACGCATTAAATTTGATTCTGCTTTGCCAGTTTGTCCTTAAAAATTTAGAATAAATACATTGAATTTGATTTCCCTTTGCCATGTGATGCTTTAAAATTTAGTATAAAAAAAAATTTAGAATAAACGCATTAAATTTGATTCTGCTTTGCCAGTTTGTCCTTAAAAATTTAGAATAAAAATTCAGAATAAGCACATTAAATTTTACTCCGCTTTTCCACGTGATGCTTTAAAATTTAGTATAAATTTAATATAAATTTTAGTATAAATTTGGTATAAATTTAATATAAATTTTAGTATAAATTTAGTAAATTTAATATAAATTTGGTATAAATTTAATATAAATTTAGTATACATTTAGTATACATTTTAGTATAAATTTAATGTAAATTTTAGTATAAATTTGGTATAAATTTAATATAAATTTTAGTATAAATTTATATTAAATTTAATATAAATTTATACTAAAATTTATATTAAATTTATACTAAATTTATACTGAAATTTATATTAAATTTATACTGAAATCTATATTAAATTTATACTGAAATTTATATTAAATTTATACTGAAATCTATATTAAATATATACTGAAATTTATATTAAATTTAATATAAATTTCAGTATAAATTTAATATAGATTTCAGTATAAATTTAATATAAATTTCAGTATAAATTTAGTATAAATTTAATATAAATTTCAGTATAAATTTAGTATAAATTTAATATAAATTTCAGATTTAATATAAATTTCAGTATAAATTTTCAAAGACCTGTGCTGCTGTGGGTGCGCATCTGGGGATGGGGGGGATCTGCTGGGTGCCAATTAATGGCAATTAACGCCGCGGGTTAACGCCGCCGCTCTGTGCCGCAGTCCGCAGCGGAGTACGTGAAGGCGCGGCTGCCCGAGGTGCTGAAGCAGCACCTGCAGGACTACGAGAGGGACAAGGAGAACAGCGTGCTGTCCTACCAGAGCATCCTGGAGCAGCAGATCCTCTCCATCGACAGGGAGATGCTGGAGAAGCTCACCGTGTCCTACGACGAGGCAGGTACGCCTGGGCTCTTCGCAATCCTCATTTCGCTGCCAAAAATGGGTCATTTTCAGTCCTTCCCCAAACCCCTTCAGTTTTCTCCTTGTTTTTGTGAAATGGTTGTTTCTTCTCAAGTGGCTCCTCATAATTCTCATTTCGCTGCCAAAAATGGGTCATTTTCAGTCCTTCCCCAAACACCTTGAACTTTTCTCCTTGTTTTTGTGACATGTTTGTTCTTCCTCAGGTGGCTCCTCATAATTCTCATATTTCTGCCAAAAAATGGGTCATTTTCAGTCCTTCCCCAAACACCTTGAACTTTTCTCCTTGTTTTTGTGAGATGTTTGTTCTTCCTCAAGTGGCTCCTCACAAATCTCATTTCACTGCCCCAAAAATGAGTCACTTTCAGTCCTTCCCCAAACCCCTTCAGTTTTCTCCTTGTTTTTGTGAGATGGTTGCTCCTCCTCAACTGGTTCCTCACAATCCTCATTTTGCTGCCAAAAATGGGTCACCTTCAGTCCTTCCCCAAGCCCCTTCAGTTTTCTCCTTGTTTTTGTGAGATGTTTGTTCTTCCCAAAGTGGCTTCTCACAATCCTCATTTTGCTGCCAAAAATGGGTCACCTTCAGTCCTTCCCCAAACACCTTGAACTTTTCTCCTTGTTTTTCTGAAATGGTTGTTCCTCCTCAAGTGGTTCCTCACAATTTTCATTTTGTTCTCCTTGTTTTTGTGAGACGTTTGTTCTTCCTCAAGTGGCTCCTCATAATTCTCATTTTGCTGCCCCAAAAATGGATCATTTTCAGTCCTTCCGCAAACACCTTGAAATTTTCTCCTTCTTTTCCTGAAATATTTGTTCCTCCTCAACTGGTTCCTCATAATTCTCATTTTACTGCCAAAAAAATGATCATTTTCAGTCCTTCCACAAACCACTTCAGCTTTTCTCCTTGTTTTTCTGAAATGTTTGTTCCTCTCAAGTGGTTCCTTAGAATTCTCATTTTTCTGCCACAAGTTTTTTCATTTTCAGTCTTTCCCTTGTTTTTGTGCAATATTTGTTCCTTCTGAAGTGGATCCTTAGAATTCTTATTTTACTGCTCCAAAAAAAATGGCTCATTTTCAGTCCTTCCCCAAACCCCTTGTGCAGGTTCAACTTTTGTCCTCGTTTTTGTAAAATATTGTCCCTCCTGAAGTGGTTCCTTAGAATTCTCATTTTTCTGTGCAAAACATTGCTCATTTTCAGTCCTTCCCCAAACCCCTTGTGCAGGTTCAACTTTTGTCCTCGTTTTTGTAAAATATTGTCCCTCCTGAAGTGGTTCCTTAGAATTCTCATTTTTCTGTGCAAAACATTGCTCATTTTCAGTCCTTCCCCAAACCCCTTGTGCAGGTTCAACTTTTGTCCTCGTTTTTGTAAAATATTGTCCCTCCTGAAGTGGTTCCTTAGAATTCTCATTTTTCTGTGCAAAACATTGCTCATTTTCAGTCCTTCCCCAAACCCCTTGTGCAGGTTCAACTTTTGTCCTCGTTTTTGTAAAATATTGTCCCTCCTGAAGTGGTTCCTTAGAATTCTCATTTTTCTGTGCAAAACATTGCTCATTTTCAGTCCTTCCCCAAACCCCTTGTGCAGGTTCAACTTTTGTCCTCGTTTTTGTAAAATATTGTCCCTCCTGAAGTGGTTCCTTAGAATTCTCATTTTTCTGTGCAAAACATTGCTCATTTTCAGTCCTTCCCCAAACCCCTTGTGCAGGTTCAACTTTTGTCCTCGTTTTTGTAAAATATTGTCCCTCCTGAAGTGGTTCCTTAGAATTCTCATTTTTCTGTGCAAAACATTGCTCATTTTCAGTCCTTCCCCAAACCCCTTGTGCAGGTTCAACTTTTGTCCTCGTTTTTGTAAAATATTGTCCCTCCTGAAGTGGTTCCTTAGAATTCTCATTTTTCTGTGCAAAACATTGCTCATTTTCAGTCCTTCCCCAAACCCCTTGTGCAGGTTCAACTTTTGTCCTCGTTTTTGTAAAATATTGTCCCTCCTGAAGTGGTTCCTTAGAATTCTCATTTTTCTGTGCAAAACATTGCTCATTTTCAGTCCTTCAATTCTCATTTTGCTGCCCCAAAAATCACTCGTTTCCCCAAACACCTTGAACTTTTCTCCTTGTTTTTGTGAGACGTTTGTTCTTCCTCAAGTGGCTCCTCATAATTCTCATTTTGCTGCCCCAAAAATGGATCATTTTCAGTCCTTCCGCAAACACCTTGAAATTTTCTCCTTCTTTTTCTGAAATATTTGTTCCTCCTCAACTGGTTCCTCATAATTCTCATTTTACTGCCAAAAAAATGATCATTTTCAGTCCTTCCACAAACCACTTCAGCTTTTCTCCTTGTTTTTCTGAAATGTTTGTTCCTCTCAAGTGGTTCCTTAGAATTCTCATTTTTCTGCCACAAGTTTTTTCATTTTCAGTCTTTCCCTTGTTTTTGTGCAATATTTGTTCCTTCTGAAGTGGATCCTTAGAATTCTTATTTTACTGCTCCAAAAAAAATGGCTCATTTTCAGTCCTTCCCCAAACCCCTTGTGCAGGTTCGACTATTGTCCTCGTTTTTGTAAAATATTTGTCCCTCCTGAAGTGGTTCCTTAGAATTCTCATTTTTCTGTGCAAAACATTGCTCATTTTCAGTCCTTCCCCAAACCCCTTGAACTCTTGTGTCGTTTTTGTGAAACGTTTATTCCTCCTGCAATGATTCCTTAGAATTCTCATTTTTCTGCCCCAAAAAATTGTTCATTTGCAGTTTTCTCCCAAACCCCTTGTGCAGGTTCAGCTTTTATCCCCATTTTGGTGAAATATTTGTTTTTTCTGTAGCCAGGCTGCTGCTGATGCATCTCCTGGGTCTCTCTGTTGCTACCCCCTGGTTTTTGCTCTTTTCTCCTTCACAAATTCCTGATTTTTGGGCATTCCCAGCACTGGGCAGGCACAAAAGCTGATTTTTAAAGCTGACACGAGGCCATGGGCAGCCAAACCCAGGCAGTTTTGGGGGCTTTTTTAACAGTGAACTCCCAGTTTGCAGATCTGACACTTTTCCTAGCATTTTCTTTTCAAGCAATCAGAAATGCCTTCCAGCTTTTAGATCCCTCTGGAAAATACACCTCACTCCAGGGGCTTGGCTTGTGGGCTCTCAAGGGCCAGCAGAGGTCAAGTGAGGGTGAAAAATATCTTTTTCATCACATATGGCTTGCTTTCAATGGTACATAAAAAATAAGCTTCAAAATTTTTTTGCTTTCTGTCACCTCTGTTGATCTTTTCTCACACAGAATTTCCCAAAATCCTGTAATTTATTTTTTTTTTCCCTTAGTTTGGTCACTCCAGCTCCTCTCCACTTATTTTCATTTAAAGGAGTTTGTTAGGGAGGAGAAAATGCAGGGGAATTACTGATTCCTGTCAGAAGGAAAAGAAAGCTTTTTCCTTTACGGAAATCTCAGTGTTCGTATGGCAAAAAATAAAGATTAAAACTGCTTGAAACACATCTTTGGGGATTGATCTCATCCAGCAAAAATCATGTGGAAATGAGAAGCTCTGTAATAACCGGTTTAGAAAATTCCCAGCAGCACAGCTGTAAATGAAAGCCCAAAATTCCAGCTTGATCAGAGATGAAAACACAGCAGTGGAGCCCCTCATCCTCCTAATTGTGTCCCTTATTTATGGGAAAGGCAGAAATGGCTCTACCTGCCCTTGGAACGAGAGCTGCTTGTGAGCAAAGCACAGAAAATGGGCACTTAAATATAATCACAGCAGCTGCTGGTGATCCTGGGTGCTCCAGCCCTTGGTGGTGACATTTTCCCTATTTTGGCTTTTTTTTTTCCCCCAGAAAAATCAACTGAATGAGGAACTCCAGCTGCTGGTGGGGTACAAAAAGCGAAGGAAACAATCCTTCAAAATTGGCAAAATAGAAGTGATGGTGATGAAAGGGGAGAAAATCCAATTTTGTCTGGCAGGGGTGATGTGAGGGATCACCCAGAGCCATCCTGGAGCCCTGCCGGGGTTTCAGCTCTGAATAATGATGAGCAGGTGGAATTCCAGCAGCTGGCAGCCAGGGAAGCTGCCAGAGGAGGTGTTTGAGGGGCTCCCAGGGCTCCCACACTGATTGTGCCTGGGTCTGGTGCACAGGGAAGCACTTCCACATTTTTTTCCAGCCAGGAAACCTTTCCCATCCCTCTTGGAAGGAGCATTTTGCACCCCCAGGTAAATCCTTCCTCCCCAGGGATGTTTCCCAAAGTGGGTCGAGTTCAGCTGCACCATTTCCCAGAGTAAAGCTGAAATGCTCTGGGTTTGGCACAATTTTGGGCGTTAATTTGGCCTTTCTGGCAACATCCAGTGTTGATAAAATGCAGCCTTGATTCCACATCCCAATGTGGATCTTTCCCTCTTTTTGTGAATCTTTCCCTTTAGGAAATCAATCCATCACAGCTACAAATAAAATGAGTTTGTCTGGAAATAGTCAAGTGCTGGCAAGATTTTTTTGTGAGGTTTGAGTAAGGAAGCTTTAAAAAATGAAAGGAGGCCAAAAGTGACAGATGGGGACAAATCTTCTCCTAATCTCTAAATCCTTTAGTTTAAAAAGTGGCATTCTTGACTCGCTAAGGCTGGGGTAATTTTGTGCAAGAATATTTTCTCCCAACAAAGCTTTGCTGGCTCTTAATCCCATTCCTTTGATTTACAGCGTCCTTAAACATCTGAGGTGGTCAGTGACCAATTTTGGTTATTTAAAAGCATTCTGCCATTTAATTCCAATGTTCCAGGGAATTCCAGCCTGCTGGGAGGTTCTGGAGGTGGTTTTGTCCTGTGGGAAATGTTTTTTTTTTTCCTTAATGGATGGCCCTTCTTCCCCAGGAGTCCTGAAAAAATTGAGTTTCATTACTGCACAACAAAAAAAAAAAGAGATGGAATTCATTTTTCCCTGCTGACAAGCAGTCCTGGAGATATTGATATTTGGGATTGCATCCAGAGCCAGGAGCCAGCCCCAGAATTGGGTTTTTTAGCTGGTATTTGCTGGTTTTGGGCGAGGGGGGCAGGAAGGGGGAGATGGGAACTGGAAAGGAGATGAGAAATGGAAAATGGGAAACATTCCTCCCATTTTGAGGCGGGCTCAGTGCTCGGGGGGTCACAGCTGGGACTCCCCAGTCTTGGAAGTCTTTCCCCCCCTCAACCATCCTGGCATTCCGCCACAGGAATTCCTGCTGATCAGAAATATCCATTTCATGGCAGAAATATGATTTTTTTTTTTTTTTTCACATCTAAAACCACCCCCCGTGGTTCTCTGCCTCCCACCCTGGTGTTCCTGCAGGCACCACGTGTCTGATCGCCCTCCTGTCCGACAAGGAGCTGACCGTGGCCAACGTGGGCGACTCGCGGGGCGTGCTCTGCGACAAGGATGGCAATGCCATCCCCCTGTCCCACGACCACAAGCCCTACCAGCTGAAGGAGAGGAAGAGGATTAAGAGAGCTGGTGAGTTGTTGGAAGGTTCAGCTTTTATTTGTCGCTAAAATTGACATTTCCCCTGGGAGAGGGTGGGAAGCGCCCGACGGAGGCGGCAGCAGATCAAATCTCCTGTTCTCCACCCAAAACTCCAGTGGGATGTCCCAGGGCAGAGGTGGCAGCAGATCACATTGGAGTTAATTGTCCAATTCCAGCTCAGCCCCTGCACTCCCATCCTGCTTGTTTTTCTCTCTCCAGCCCACGGGGTTTGTGCTCTTGGGCTGAGATTTGGATCATTTGTCCTTGGTGCCCAGCTGGAGCAGGAATTGTTTTGTCTCCCTGCTCTGTGCAGAGAGCTCACCATCCCCTGATATGGAGCCCAGACCCACCCACTAAAGCAGCACAGAGTCTGAAAAATACAAAAGCTAAATCCTACGGCATCACCTCCCACATTCTGAGCTCTGTAACCCCTCAGGATGAACCTTTGGGGAGGTCTGGTGGGAACCAGAAAGCTCCTTGGATATTCCAAAGAGCAGCTTGGATGTCCCGAAGAGCTCCTTGGATGTCCCAAAGACCTTCTTGGGTGTTCCAAAGAGCTGCCTGGGCGTTCCAAAGAGCTGTTTAGATGTTCCAAAGGGCTGTTTAGATGTTCCAAAGAGCAGATTTCAGCGTTGCTCTTTCCCCCCAGGTGGGTTCATCAGCTTCAACGGCTCGTGGCGCGTGCAGGGCATCCTGGCCATGTCGCGCTCGCTGGGCGATTACCCCCTGAAGAACCTGAACGTGGTGATCCCCGACCCCGACATCCTGAGCTTTGACCTGGACAAACTGCAGCCAGAGTTCATGATCCTGGCCTCGGACGGGCTGTGGGACGCCTTCAGCAACGAGGAGGCCGTGCGGTTCATCAAGGAGCGCCTGGACGAGCCGCACTTCGGGGCCAAGAGCATCGTGCTGCAGTCCTTCTACAGAGGCTGCCCCGACAACATCACAGTCATGGTGGTGAAGTTCAGGAATAGCAGCAAAGCAGAGGAGCAGCAGTGAGGAGCCCCCGGGCCCGCTCAGGACTCAGAACAGTTTGTCCGTGGTGGGAAGCTCTAGGAACGCCGTGCGGGCTCTCCCGCGGCAGCGGATCTCTCTGGGCTCTGCTCTTGGCTTGACAAAAGGAGCAATACAACAAATCCATGCTGAGCGACCACAAGAATCCAGTTTGTCCCCTGTCCCTGCCCTGTGCCCTCGCTGCTCCTTAGGAAGTGACTGGAACCTTCCGTTTCTCAATTTTCTTTAGGAATCCTGTGCAGGGTTTTGGTTTGGTTCCTCCCCTCTGGGGTGCCAGCCCCAGGCTGGCTCAGGGGCACGGCAGGGGCAGGGCAGTGCTGCTGCTTTTCCCTCCTGGGTGTCACTGCTCTCATGTTCCTCATCTCTGTACCCTGCAGTGGTAGGGGTGGGTGGGAGAAGGGTTTGTGATGCGAAGGAGGAAGAGGAGCCAACTCTCAGCCTGCTGCCGCTGCTGGCTCTCGCTTTGTTCAGCCTCCCCCCGAAATAAACCCCTGCCAAGCATGTGAGTAGGTAGAGCTCCTGAGTTACCACGTTTATTCAGGCTGTGCATTACTCTAGGACAGTTCTTCTAGGCCATATTGTATCCAAACCAACTCATGGTGGACTTCAGCCAAACCCTGGGAGTTCTGAACCTCCTGGATGGGAGCAGAGCTCAGCTGTGGTAGCAGAATGTCTGTCCTTCTCCGAGAATCACCCTGACCTTATTTCCGTGGCATGGACTTGGAAAGGGATGTGAGAGAAAATGAATTTCACTGGTGACTGTTGGGAGCCTCACCCAAGCAGGGCGTTCCTCAGAGCTACCTAGCTGGGAGTCAAGCCTGTGAAAGACTTCCTTGTACCACTGCAGATGGATTTGTGGTGTTAATCCCGGGGCAGATCCCTCTGGAACGGGCTTTTGGGATGACATGCAAATGCCAGGCAGCATCAATGCACTGTAGAGATGAAAGGTTGTGTTAAATCTAGATTTTCAGAAGTATGTTTAGATCTAACTTTCAGTATTTAATTGTATTTTGGGATCTGTGACTGCTGTAAGTTGGAATGAGGACAGTTTGGGTTTGCTGCACCTCTGGTACCAGCTGTGTCATGGCAGAGGGACAGGGCAGGCAGGATTTTGGATGGCTCCTTTATCCTTATCCTGCCTTACAGAAGTCCTTGGGATCTCCCCAGAATGTGGTCCTGGACAATCTGCTCAAGTCTTCAGGGTGATGGAGGCTGCCTGTGTTTGGGTGTGGAGCTGGGTCAGGGATGTGGTGGATTCCCTGGCCTTGCTTGTTCCTTGGGAAAGGACACTATTCCTCATTTTCCAACTGCCTGACCCCCCTGCTCATCTCCAGGGGTCTGGGGTGGGGCTGAGCTCTGCTGGGGAGGTGCTGAGGGGGTCTCTCAAGGCAAAAAATCAAAGAGCACAAACTTCTGCTCGAGAAGGAATCCCCATCTTTGTCTTGTTTTGTCCCTGGGTCACCTCTCCCCCAACAAACTTCCCTCCTTTAATTTGTTTGGGGATGATCTCAGCCCTTAATTGGCTCCCTGACATTTGCAGTCCCCTGGCTGTTCAGGTGAGCAGCTGACAGGAATTGGTGACAATTGCTTCAGTTGTTGCAGTGTGCACAGGCAGCGAGCTCAGGTGCTGGCAGGTGCAGCCTGTGGGCGATGATCCCATGGGAATGCTGGATCCCGGGCTGGGATGGCACAGCAGCAGTGGGGGAGCAGCTCAGTGTGTGGAGTTTGCCTTCCCTGTCCCCTTCAGTGCTCCTGTTGTGCTTTCCCTTTGGAGGGCACGGCTGTCCTGGGGAAAGAGGGATTCCAGCCAGCAGCTGTGGAGGAGAGGGATGTTTGTGTGCAGACATCTCCACTAACCCATCCCAGGCACTGGAACGATGGCCATGCCCAGGAAAACAGCACACATCCAGCTGGGGTGGGAGCTCCTGGCTGCAGGGAGCATCCCAAGGCCAGTGAGCATTCCTGAGGGATCCGTGAGCTCTGAGCACCGCCCTGGGACAGCCAGGGACACGAGGTGGCAGGAGCTGCAGCCAGGAGGGAGCACTGGCAGGGGGCAGGGCAGCTCGTGCGGGATTCAGGCAAACACAGCAGGGCAGGAGGGGTTTGCAGCTTTGCCTGGATCATTCCAGGATCATTCCAGGATCATTCCCTGTCCCTCAGGCAGCTCCCACCCAGCCCTGTGCCAACTCCAAGTGGCTGCAGCTGCAGCAAGAACTGGCTCAGCACCTTCAGCTTCCTCTCCCCTCCCTGGCAGGGCTGTCCTGGCCAGAGCCATCCATGCCAACGATCTCTGCTCAGCCAGGGAATTTTTGCTTTGATTGCTTTGAAAAAGGAGCTTCAGCTGCTTCAGGTTTGCAGAGGAAGGACTGATGGAGGTGAGAGGCTTTGTGTGGTCCCCCACACCCACGTGCAGTGCCTACCTGTGCTCCCAGCTGGAAGGTTTGGAAGCTTTCCCTCCAAACTGAGGCGTTTCCAGCTTTCCAGTGGTGCTGATTTGTGCCAAACTCTGTCGTGACACAGCTGGAGGCTGACAGGATGAACTCCTTGTGCAGATTGCTTATGCAACCTGACCAGTGCAGGGCTCTCCCACTGCCTTAACACTCCATCCTCCATCTGGGAAGGGCTGCCAGCTGCTGTGCCAGGAACATCCCTCTGGCTGTGGCAGCAGGGCTCCAGCCTTCCTGCTGCTCTCCTCCCAAAAACAGGGAGCTGCCTGGAGCTCCTCCTGCTCATCCAGCCAGCTTTGGTGGATTCATCCCCTTGGGGACAGCTGGAGCCTCAGGGCACAGGGAGTGGCTGCCAAAGAGCATCTTCAGATGGCCTGAGGTGACAAAGGGACCACGAGGCTGAGCCAGCCATGGGGAATTGGGCAGTTCCCAAACTGGGCTGTTCCCAAACTGGGCTCTTCCAAGGGTGTCCCAGCACTCTGGAATTGGGCTGTTGCCAAATTGGGCTGTTCCCAATCTGGGCTGTTCCAGGGACGTCCCAGCACTCTGGAATTGGGCTGTTCCCAAGCTGGGCTGTTCCAGGGATGTCCCAGCACTCTGGAATTGGGCTGTTCCCAAATTGGGCTGTTCCCAAACTGGGCTGTTCCAGGGATGTCCCAGCTCCCAGCTCTGGGGAATTGGGCTGTTCCCAAATTGGGCTGTTCCCAGGGGTGTCCCAGCTCCCAGTGCTCAGGAACTGGGCTATTCCAGGGATGTCCCAGTGCTTGGGAATTGGGCTGTTCCCAAATTCAGCTGGTCCCAGGGACATCCCAGCTCCCAGTGCTCAGGAATTGGGCTGTTCCAGGGATGTCCCAGCTCCCAGCTCTGGGGAACTGGGCTGTTCCCAAGTTGGGCTGTTCCCAGGGATGTCCCAGGTCTCTCCCCTGGGATGATCTGATGATTCCCTCAGCCTGCAGCACGGATTGCTGTGGAGTTCATCCATCCCTCTGATCCTTCCTGGAATTCCTGGCAGGGCTGGAATGTCCCAGCCTGTCCCCAGCTTGGTGGCACCGTGGCTCCTTCTGCTGGCCTGAGACATTCCCACAAACCCCGCAGCAGCCCCCAGGATAAAGGATTTCCACTCCCACTGCTGCTGCTGTTGCAGGGTGAAACCATTTCCAGAGGTGAAATTAAAAATATTGTGAAGATTTTAGAATCCAGGAGTCAGAATTAAAGCACTGCATCAGCTTGGCTGCAGAAACACCAATGCCACAGCCACAAAAAAAAAAGGGAATTTTGTGTCTCAGGATACAGGACAGCCCTGCTTTAAATAATATGGATTTATTGCTAATGTAGCTGATACTTGTTTTACACAGAGAAGCATTTAGTCGGTGATTATATTACAGAAAAAACACCTCACCTGCCTTTCATCCCCCAAAGCAGGATTTGAGACCTCTGAACAAAATTCCAAGTGAGAATGTTCTGCTGGAATTTGGCCACTGCAGAGCCCAGAGCTGCAGCCCCTTTGTGCCCAATATATTCATAAATGGCCTTTTTAAACTCCCCAGAGAAAATGATCTGTACAGATAATTAATAATGAGCTGAAGTTTCCTTACTTTTATTTTTCCAGTGCTGACTGGACAAGGCTTAGGGGAGCAGGTGGATAAATTTGGATTTTCCTGAGGTAACTTAAAATTCCAGCTGTGCCCAGCTCTGGAGGATAATCTGGGTGCTCTGGGAAGCAAAACCTGCTGGGTGCAGCTGGAGCCTTGCCAGAACCACAAAGAGAGCTTTGAGGGCAATTCTTGAGGGAAAAATGTGTGGATTTCACGGATTTGGGCAGCTCCTGTGCCTGCTCTGCTCAGCCCTGAGGGAGTTGGAATGAGGGGTTTTTAAGGTCCCTTCCAACCCAAGCCAGTCTGGGATTCTGGGAATTATCTGAGCAATGGGGAACTTTTTAAAGCACTTTTTTCCAAGCATATTTCATGGCCAATCCTGCATTTTTTGAAGTGGAGTTGCATCCATGGACACAGGCAGCCTCTCTGACATCGGTCATCCATAAATGTGAGGCAAAATTTAGGGAAATGTCCCAAACATCCTGTTGCACTGAGCATAGGGAGTGCTGCCCCTGCATCTCCTGTAAGATTTATGGGGAATTTCTTTGTGCCAGGGTGCACACAAAGCATTTGAACTCCTCTGAAATAACATCCAGAATGGGAATTTCACCTTGGAACTCACTCCTGCTCCCCACTCAGCAGCAACTTCCAAACATCTTTGTCCAATGAATTAACATTATTATTATTATTATTATTATTATTATTAGGCTTTTCAGGTCAGAAAACCCTACAGTTTTCCTATAAAAATCACAAATATTTGGAATTCTGATTTAATACAGCTGCATAAGGAAAAAACCAAAACCTTAGGATTTGGGAAACCTTTAACCTGTGTTTTTCACTTTGTTTTAGTACAATATTCTAGGCAGATGCAATAAAATTTGCCCCTCCCTTAAATGCCCAGATTATTTCATATTTTTAAGGTTTTTCACCTTTTGCCAGGCTGCTCACACTAAAAACTTCCCTAAGAATGGCTTTGAGCAGAAACGGGAGCTCAGTTAGGAATTTTACAGCCTTTTAAGCAATAATAAAGTCAGAATCAAATACAAGCCAGACTTGGAAATGAGGTTTTTTTAGGAAAACCAGGAGCAGGATGGATGTTTTTCCAGTGCTGCTGGCACTGTCAATGACAATTTCAGGTGGCACAAAGAGATCACTGTGTATAAACCTAAGCCTTGGAACCTGTGAGCAGTGTCAGCATTTGGGGCGCAAAACCCCGAATTCCTGCAGGTGACAGGAGAATTTCTGGCCATCCTCACCTCCCCAGGACTCTCATTCCTCCCTCACCACGAGCATTCTCTGCTTTATCCATTTCCTGAAGGCAGCAGGGTCATAATTACATTTTTATTTTGGAAAAAGCAATACAAGCTGTGCTGTAGTATCAGTGTTCTTGTGGTAAATAATTTATTTCTAAGCATTTCACGTGGCAGGCTTAGAGAAGAACTGAGGGGTTTGGGGTTTGAGATGTGTAAACAATCACAGAACAAGGCAGTTCTCCACGTACCTGCTCAGAGAACAATCAAATCCCAGCTCCTAAACCCACAGCACAGCTGGAATTTCACCCAGATCTAGGAATACAAGAGCATCGTTCCCTCAGTTATGCAATACTGTATTTTCCCAAAAAATAAAAAAAAAAATAATAGCCTTTATTTTTTAAAATCTTTGACCTTTTCACCATCAGAACACTGACATCTGAAATCCTTGTCTGGAGAGTGTTTTCCCCCAAGACTTTTTCATCCCTAAAAAACCACAAGCCCATCCTGAGATCCCCTCCCCAGCCCCAGGTGCAGCTGTGGAGCAGAGCCAAAGCCAGCAGTGCCTGGGTGCTGGAGGCACTGCTGACCCCTCAGCCCTGCTCCTGCAGCTCTGGGCGGCCCTGAGCTCTGCCTCTGGGACACACCAGGGCTGTGGGGTCGTGCCAGCCCAAGGGGAAGCCCTGGGAGCGTGGCCAGGACGTCTCCTCAGTCCCTCCCCCGTGTAGTGGATGTGTCCAGGTTAATTCTGTTCATGCAATTGCAAATTCTGTATCGTTGTCCATTAGAAGTGTAAACTACTGAAAACTGGGCCTTGCTGATATGAATAAAGTGATTAAAAAATGGTCTTTACACACGGGGAGGAGTTGGTCTTCTTTAAAGTAGCAATGGGGGGATTTCTTCCTTTTTCCAGTTTTCAAACTGGAACCAAAAAACTCATTTAGGACCAGGCATAAATCACAACAGAAATGATTTTCCATCTTCTCCACAGGGTTCCAAAACTCCTGGGATGCATCACACACATACGTACAGGGGTGGAGGGATTGGTGATCCCAGTGGTTTTGGGATGTCCAGATTGATCGTGAGCTCCACTCCATCTCCCTGGTCTGGGAACACCAGCAGAGACACCAAAGTCATTCCATTTAATAAGCACGCCCAAAATGCATCACATTTCCAGCATTTCTCACCAGCTCCTGCAGATCCCACAGGCTGGGAACACTCCTGGAAGGGTTGTGGAGGTGACACATTTAAATAACAAGGTGTGACACTCTCGGGAGGCTTACACCAAAAACAAGGTTGGGTTGGGTTGGGTTAAATTCTGTGCTAGGCAGAGAACAAATAAAGGAGAGTGGCAATAAAACAATAAAAACAATCCAGGCAGCAATTCAGGAAGCATCCTCCAAGCTGCTTGCTTGGCAGGAACGTCTTTCCTCAATGGCATTTTGTACATTCCAGAAGATTCAGGGGGAAATTCCAGGGCTGCTCCGAGCACATGGAAAGGCAGCAGAGGCAGACGGGACATTCCAAGGCACCCTCTGGGTGTGGGATACACACCTGGAAAAGTGCTTTGTGAATCCCTGCTTTTGTTGAAAAGCACTGGAATGCCCTGGAGAAGCATTGCCCCAGCAGTCAGAGTCATCTCTAGAGGCCACTCTTACAGCAAACTGAAGTTTCTAAAGAAATCCACAATCAAAAGCAAGTTTTTGAAGTGTTGGATGACAAATCCTGCCAGAACTGGACCAGTTCACTTGATGTAAGGCCATGAACTGCAATCAGATGTCTGTATTTACAGATATCAAAGTCGATTTTGTAGAGAAAGAATTGTTCTGCATCTTCTGGAATAGCGATGTCGACCTTGAGTATATTTAAGCAAATTCCCACATAAACATCCTCAAATTTCAGAGGTCTGACATGGCCCATCAGCTCGTAAGTCCTCAGAGCCAGTTTTCCATCCAGGATGTATCCCAGGCCGCTGCAGTAGGGAGGATAGAGCTTGAAGGGATACTCCTGGTAGGAGATGTACCTTTTCGGGTCGAAGCCTCGGTAGGCGAAGTTATCGATGAGGGGGTACCCGGTGAAAAAGTTCTCCGAGGAATTCAGCTGCAGCAGGAACTTCACCAGGTTGGGAGTGTTGATGAAGACATCGGCGTCGGTCTTCATGAAGAACCTGGCGTTGGAACAGAACTCGGAGAACCACTGGAACGCCATGATGGTCTTCAGGGTGAGGTTGTCGTAAGTGTCCATGAAGTCCTGGCGGATGATGTCCCCGTAGAGGATGCTCTCGTCCTCCACCGCCAGCGCTGCCACCCTGTCCTCCCTCTGCGTGTCCTGCCCCAGCAGGAACAGCGTCAGGATGTGCTGGCCCCACCAGGAGTCCCGGGAGCCCCACGTGATCCTGATGGCCTGCCTGGCTTTCACGTCCCTGGGGCTGGAAGCCACCAGGATGACCAGGAAGGGTTGGAGGTCGGCGCACCTGGGGCGCTCGCGCAGCGTGAACGGGCGCGGCTGCCGGTACATGGGCTCGTACTCGAAGAAGTACAGAGGGTTCACGTTATCCAGGCCAGCCCTGGAGGAGAAGGTTATGTACCACATGGTTATCAGGGAAAACACCAGCAGCAACAGGAACACCCATTTCAGGGGTCTCATGCACAAGGCGCTGATCGGGACCGGGATCATGGTCGGGATCTGCTGGTGCCACTCAGAATCTGTTCCACGAGTCCTGGAGCATCTTCCTTGCTGAAAAAAAAAAAGGGGAAAGTGGCATTCAGAGTGCTGTTAGTCAAATATTCCCTTTTCCTTGTGTTGGCTGAAGCGTCAGCTGGGATTGTGCTATGGTACCAGCCAATGCAAGCATTCCTGATCCAGCTGTCACTGCCCTGATCCCAGGGATGGCAGCAGGGCACGGAGCCCCTGCCCTGCAGGGTTTGCAGGGTTTGCAGAGCAGGGCTTGCACTGAAAGCTCGTGCCTTTCACCCTGCAGGATCCCCCCCTCACACACCTCATCTCCAGCAGGGATCCTGCTCCAAGGGCTGTGATCCAGGGATCTCAGCACCACGTCTCTGACTCGGCCTCTCCTCAAGGACACCACGCCGTGCACCAAACCCAAGGAACGCTCGGGAAATGGATGCTCAGAGCCTCAGAACTTTGGTTTTTCTGTTAGTGACAGGAAGTCTGATCTGCATGAGCTGCAGCACGTGGGCAAGTCACCAGAACTACGAGCAAGTATTTCATTTCCATTAAAGGCTTGTTCTGAGGGGGAGGGGGAAGGTGAAAATCAACTTCCTTAAACCAAGCGATGCACTAAAGCTGGTTTTGACCAAAATCATGACTGTTTTTACAGTCATTAGCCAGGTAATTTTTAGATTTGAGGCACACAGATCCACAGCAGGTCCTTCCAAACCCCTGTGGAATCTGTGCTGAAGCTGCTGCTCCAATGTCAGGATTAGAGATTCCAATGGATAAATCTTCACAAAATTCAGTTTAAAACTAAACCCCCAGGCCTGTGCCCTCAGGTAGCTTTATTTCCTTAAAACTACACATGCTCTATCATCTATTTTAGCCATCTTTAAGCCAAAATAACTCCAGTGCTTAACTGTGGGAATTCCAAATGGTTTCTGATGTTTGCAGTAATAATATTTATCCTGCACGAGCACACACAAAGACACAGTCAGGATAATAGAAGGTTTGATTTCACAGCACAATTAATTACTCTTTATCTTCAAAAATCTCACCACAGGGCTCAGAAATGTTTTAGATTTGACAAACAAATCCAGCCCCCATAACAGCACTCTGGAATGCAGGGGAATTTGATTTTCCAGAGCCCACCTGCCTCGTGTTTCTGTGTAGGATCTGATTTTAAATTAATCATCCTTTAAAGGAGGAAATTGGAGAACATTTCACCAACAATGTCCTTAAATCGGATTAAAGCAATTTTATATAAAGCATTCAAATAGAAGAATTTCAGACTGCTTCCTCTCAAAATCAGGAATTAACTAATAGGAGTCTTCTCTTTTTATGCATCAACCTGACTTTCAGTGGACAATAGGAGAATACATACTGGAAGAAAATAACCTAGGTTATGTATCAGTGCTTATTATTTGATTTTGATCAACAACATTTATTTTGATGATCAACTTTAAATCATATCAGCGAAATCTGATCCATTTGATCAGTTCTTGGCTGCCTAATGGAAAAAAATATTATAAATATTTTGATTTTTATAGGAAGAAAAGCCCAATTTCATGACACTGTGAACAACAAAATTGGAGACAAATCCTGATCTGCTACATAAGGAAAAATCTGGGAAAATAAACATCAATTCATGTCTTTCAGGAAACCCCAGCCACACAGGGAAATTAATCCCCACCTTCTCCTATTTCGAGTGCTTGAAGCAAAGAGAGGCAGTTGAGTCAGCGAGGTCCGAGCACTTCTGCCCAGTCATGGTGCAGGTTCTGCCCTTCCAGCTCCTCCTCCACTCCCAGACTTTGTGCCGGCACGTTTTCCCTTCCAGCTGTGGACGGCAGCTCCTTCCAGGGCACTGCTTTTATTTTCTTCCAAGCTGAGATAGTGCCAAAAGTGAAACTGGTGACTTTCGAAATAAATGTGAGGCAACACAAGGCTCAGAATGCTTCACAGGGATTTAGATCCATCTCCACCCAGGTAGGGGATTGTGTAACGTGGACATGCTTGGGCAGGAAAAAGGTGGGAAATTCTCATATTCAATAAAGATTACTAATTATAATAACCAATAGTCCAATATGATGATTTTAAAAATACTATAATAATAGGTGTATAGGAAAATAATTCCTTTTTAAAGCTACAAGCAGAAATAATTTGGAAATATACTATTTAAAGCTGGCTTGGACGCAGCCTGGTCTATGGGAGGTGTCCCTGCACACGGCAGGAGGTGAAGGAGTTAAAGTTTAATGTTCTTCCAGCCCAAACCAGCCACCGATTCTACGTTTTTAAACTTAAAACCAACCGAAACTAGAGGCAATTTTACAAGACCCCGTGCTGCCATGCTCTAATGTAACAAACTTCGAGGTTTTGTATTTTTAAAACTTAAAAAAAAAAAAACGTTTAAAATACCTTTACCAGCGCCTGGCTGTCACTCGTGCCTGCCCCGTCCATCGCTGCTCGCCGTCCCAGGCACCAGGGGAGGAGCGGGGAGGTCCGGGCCGGGCAGGAGGGGATGGCTGCGGGGCCGTGCCGCCCTCTGCCGAGCCCAGGCACCCATTTCAGCCTTTTCTGGGCTTTCCGATCCGAGCCGGCAGCGCGGCGGCGCTCGGGGCCCGCTCGCACTGCGCGCTGCCCCGCACGCATCTCGCCCCACCACGCGGGGGCCGCGTCCCTGCTCCCCATCCCCATCCCCATCCCCATCCCCATCCCATCCCATCCCATCCCATCCCATCCCATCCCATCCCATCCCATCCCATCCCCATCCCCATTCCCATTACCGTGTCCCTCTCGGGCAGCAGCGGGAAGGAGCCGCCTCCCGTTCCGCCTTCCCCGAGCGGCGCCCGCTCCTCCGCCCTCGCCGGCAGCCGCCGCCGGCTCCCCGGCGTCCCTCCGGCAGCCCAGGCCGGGCACAGCCGGCGGAGCTGCCTCCCCTTCGTGCCTCGGCCGCTGGGAGCGCCTCCCGGGAGGATTCGCTGCCTAATTAGTGCGTCCATGGCGCCTCGGCACTCCATCAAGCCGGGATGTCCTGCCTGGACCAGCTGGGGATGTGCAGCGTTGACGTTCAGCTCTTCAGGTCACGAAAGGGTTACAGGGCAGAGCTGGCGCTCGGATTAGGCAGGGCTCAATCTGCTGTGCCGGGTTTAGGGCTCTGGTTCGGCAGCGGGGCTGGAAGGCAAGCTCGGCACGGAGGAGGGGGTCGCAGCCTGGCGGAGCAAACCCAAAAGCTTTTGGGCAAAGCGAAGGGGGGTTCCGTGCGCTCCGGCTGCCGGGGGTCTGCGGGGTCAGGGCTCTGTCCTGCGCTTTGGCCTCGGGAGCAGCGCGGGGAATCCTTCCTGGGAGCGGCTCTGCCTCTGGGCTCCGGCACGGTCAGAAACCTGCAGAGCCCCGCACGAATGACCTCGTAAAAAGTCGGGATCTGCTCGATCCCTGCTTTGAAGCGACGGCTGATGGAGGAAATAACAGCTGTGATCATCAACACCCAGTGCAGGAGGAGCACACAGAGCAGAGAACTGGGAGTGATCTTCGAATTGCAGCTGGGGACAGACCATCCATCCCTGCCTTGTTCTAGACATCCATATTTTATTGGAATTGCATCAGGGAATTCTGGTCCATTTGACGTGTTAACCTTGTGTTCTGCAGTTTGCTGCCTCCCCATCTTTCAATTAATTCGTGTCCATTCATTTGTAAAGAAGTACAAACACTTTCCTCCCTGGTTTAATGCATCCTGACCTGCTCCTGAAAAACCCTACACATAATCCAGCCGTGTTATTAACTATGAAAAACGTGCAGCAGCGAGTGTGTCACTGTCATCTCTCTTTGCCCCCAATTAGTCCCGGTCTAACCCTTTTAGCCTCAAGAGAAACCAGATTATAACTTGTCTGTCAGGGCTGAGGTGGATTTTACGCAACCAATGTCGTAATTATCCAAATGATTGCTCTATCAGTCAGCAGCTTGTTACAAGGCCTTTACATCTTTTTGCTGATTCTGGACTTTCTGAAGCAGAGAGAAATGGTTTCCTGGGTGTAAGGGCAACTCCTGCAGTACTCAGGATGTGTCAGAGCAGCCCAACATGCAACCACTATCAGGAAAATAATCAGTCAATAGGAACTCATTAATAGCTGACTACATTTTCTATCTCCTCTTGTTTCATTCTGCTACTTGGAGTGGTGGCCAAAAGCAATGATCAAGACTTGGTTATTTCCTCGCTTCTTGACCCTTTCCTGAAGGAAATCTTCATTGGGCAGTCACAGAGTAAAATGAAGGTAACGGGAATTTTTAAGGCAAGGCAGCAGGATCTCAGTGATGACCAGACCACAAGCTCTGTATTTAGGCTCCACCTTGTGGGGTGCAGTTAAACTCATTCGCCAACAACACAAACAAACTCCCTGAGTTTACAGCCCTGGCAGGAGGAGTCACTGAGGCAGCTGATTAGAGCAGAGCCCAGTTTTAGTGGAGTTCTCAGGGTTTGATAAAGTCCATGGGCTGGAACTCACATTCGAGACCACCTAAGATCAGTTTGTGGGAGATGAGATGCACTGATAAATCAGCTACCTGCTCATTTTGTGGCTAAGTATGGACAAACCTTAAATCTTAAATCTCCCCTCCTCACTGCTTCTGTTCATATCTGGATGCCTTGAGAAGTCTGAGCTGGAACAGAGGCTGGACAGAGTTAAAGTAAGGATTGATTCAAAGGATCTCCTCCATGGATGCACCTCGGGCAGCACAAGAGCCCAGCCAGGGCTGCAGCCAAGATGAACCCAAATGGTCCCAAAATGCACGAGCGCTCACGGGGTCTCTCCCTGGGATCAGCTCTGCTCCATGTGCACATTGCAGTTCAGTGTCCAATTCCAGCTCAGCCCCTGCACTCCCATCCTGCTTGTTTTTCTCTCTGCAGCCCACGGGGTTTGTGCTCTTGGGCTGAGATTTGGATCATTTGTCCTTGGTGCCCAGCTGGAGCAGGAATTGTTTTGCCCACCTACTCTGTGAAGAGAGCTCACCAACACTTAACATGAAGCTCAGAACTGCACACTAAAGCAGCACAGAATCTGAACATAAAATATCAGAATATAAAAGCTAAAGCCTAAGGCATCAATCTCATTTTTCTCCCAGATGGCTGTGGATGTTCAGGGGGATTCTCTCAGAGCCAGGACCTGCTGGTGATCAGGGAATCCCTGGATCAGGCTGGAGGTGCTGGGAACGTGGCTGTTCAAACAAGCTGGCAGCCTGTAACCTTTGTGCCTGTGCCAGTGGGGCCGTGGTTACTCATCCCAGTCCCACCCACAGGCTTGGCACGGAGCTCTGCGCCTTCCGAAGCCTCGTGGCTCCTTATCACCTCGATAAAAGCAGCGTGTGTTTGTGCAGAGCTCTGGCTGCTCCAGAGCTCACAGCTGCCTCTTCTCCCTCTCTGCTTGTGCCTCACCTCAGGAGGGGGAAAGGCAGCGACACAAACTGGCCCCAGGGAAGAGGGGAAATATCCCTGGAACAGAGAAGTCCCCGGGATAAATGGGCCTCCAGAACGCCAAGCCCTCAGCGAAGGGGGCCAACATCGTGATGCTGGGGCTGGACTCCGCGGGGAAATCCACGCTGCTCTACAAGTTCAGGTATAAAGATGCTTTTATAACAATGCCAACCATTGGCTTCAATGTGGATATGATTGAAGCAGGGAAAGATTTCATTCTGACGTTTTGGGATGTTGGAGGACAGAAGAAAATGAGAGAGCTCTGGAGCAATTTCCTGGAAGACGCCGGCGGGCTGCTGTACGTGGTGGACAGCTCTGACAAGCGGCGGCTGGAGGAGTCCAGGAGGGAATTTGAGCTCATTTTAAAGAATGAATCCATAAAAAACGTCCCTGTGGTCGTGCTGGCGAACAAGCAGGATTTGCCTGGAGCACTGAACGCCGAGGAGATCACCAGGAAGCTCAAGATGAAGAAGTACTGCAGTGACAGGAACTGGTACGTGCAGCCCTGCTGTGCCACCACGGGAGAGGGGCTGGCAGAAGCTCTCCAGAGGGTGGCCACCTTTGCCAGGCAGTACAAGAAGTCAAAGGAGACTTTCATCGCCCTGAAGGAACTCAACTCCTTTTAAGGATTTCTATCATCCACTTCTGGTGACTCTTAACATACTTTGTTGGACAGATTAAATCTGGAAATACTGGATTCTGAAGAACTTTTATATATAAATATTTATAAAGGACTTTGACAATATCAAATTCTACAGTTATACCTGCAGATACTTGATATACCTGATGGGATATCTCATACCTGAGATAGGACTCTGTAGCATTTTATTATTATTTTTTTATTTACTTGGGGTTATTCAAGTTGAATGATGACAAAGGGGCAGTCACGCACATGGAAATAAAATAGGTGAGCAGCGTTTAAGTGGCTTAAATCAAATGAAGATTCAAATCCATTTTTTTTCAAGATGTAAACCAGCCAAATCATTTGGTCAGCAGTGATCAAATGCTGTTTTGCAATAAATGGAATAGATGTGTTTCTTATTTGAAAATAGAGCGGGGTGAGAGCTGCAACTCCAGTTACGTATGAGAGAATTTGGCTGTTTCTAAACAGTTCCTGCAGAGAGGTGGTGACGAGCAGGACAAGCTCCTCACCCAGCCCCGGGCAGAGCCTGGCTCCAGTGCTGTCCCCAGGGTGCAGCTGTGGCCTCCCATTGTCCCAGAGACGCACGTGCTGCTCCCCTTGTTCCTGCACCGCTGCACTGCCCTCCTCACAGGAGATCAGCCAGGGAAGAGCTGAATCCCCTTGGTTTTGTGGTGACTTCCCAGTCCTGGCCTCTGGAAAAGTCGTGGCAGGGGTCCTCTTGTGCTCCCGTTTTTTTGTTTCAGGATTACACCAAGGAAGTAGGTGGGAAGTAGGAAGTTTACATTTCATTCTTACTAATACACAGACAGGAATGTCAAGTTATAAAAGGGTGAAGCAGCAATAAAATCACCCAGACATACCCTGTTGTCTCATGCACAGGTTATTCAAAGTCAAAAAACATCAGGTGGGTTTGCTGAAATAGTAAACAAAGGGAAGTTTCCCAATAGTAGCTGTTATTAATACTGAGACTAATTAATTACCAGGGGCTAAATCCTGAGTCATGCTGAGACTCTTGTTAAAAAATGAGCAAATGTCTGGATTTCTCATTGCCCACTCTGGTGAGTTGGGCTCAATAGAAAATATAATCTTCTGTCCCTAAAAAGATCTTTAAAAGTCATTAATGTTGGTTTTCCAAGCCAAACAATTCAATGTTTAAAAAGTGATATTTCATATTGATACATTTATAAATGTTTGCATGTGTATAGGGTGAATTCTCTTAATTTAATCATGTGTCTGTTATAAAGCAGAATTCACTTCCATGGGCTCAGGACTTCCTCAGGGAGAAACGCTCCTGAGAGATTTAATGAGGGTGCACCAGCATCTCAAATTAGCCAAGAAGCAAGTTCTGAAGGGAGAAATAAAGTCGTAAAATAGACCGGCTCATACAGCTAAAACTGAGAATAAGCTCTCAGGCACACAGACCCTTCTGCAGGTTATCAAATTACACTAAATGACACTCACATCAACCTGAAAAAATGCTCTACATTATGCTTCAAAGGAAAGGAAAAAACTCAATTCCATTCACAGAATATCAAGTATTTAAAAATTGCATTTTCTAAGAGCTTGGTTTCCCAGAGAAGTTAAGGCAGGCCTGTTACATCTGCCCAAGGAGACCCCAACCTTTTGGAATCATTTTAAAGCTTTAAAAGAAATATCAGTCAGGCTGGCTTGGAGGCGCAGGTTCTCAGAGGAATTAGATGCCTGAAAGTTTAATTAAAAAACCTCAGTGAGACAGGGAAAAGTGACCACCCCTTAAAGGCAAGGCTGCTAAGGCACAAAAAGCTGATCCCCACGGAGATAAATGTTCCACTGGACATCAATCCAGAGCCAGGGCTTCTTGGGTTCCTCTGCTCCGGGAGCTGCCGGGGCTTTTCCATCGTGCTTGGATCAGCAGAGCACTCGGGGCTCCCTCAGGATGGGACAGAGATGGAGTGCACTGCTCCAAACCTGGAGCGAAAACCTCCCTGGCACTCAGCACTTCTTGGGAAGGTGTTGGGAAGGTGCAGAAGAAGGGAACTGGGGCTCAGCTCCGAGCACAGGCTCACCCCAGCGTGCTGTGTGCTCCCGGGGGAAGCCCGGCAATTGTTGGATATCTGATCCCATCACGTGTTCCGTGGTGAAATCAATACCCAGGGACTTCCAACGGTTCCAAAGTTTCCAGCTCCATCCCTCTTGGGCAGTTTGAGCTGCCTGGCTGAACGCCACGAGCAGAATTGTCTTGGTGTTTCAGGAATTCTGCCGGTGCTAAAAGCCAACCAGCAGCACCGGGATAATTTATTCCTGCATAAATTTGGCTTATTTCATTATTTAGAATTTTTACAGATTACTCACTACAAAAATTTTAGGATTTTTGAAGTGTTTGGGATACTTTGAGATGGTAAGAAATCAGAATCTCAAGAGGCCTGAGGCAGTGGAGCTGAAGTCTGGGAGCTGAAAGATGGGATGAAAGTCCGTAAAGAGTTGGGGTCAGATGTTTGCTGGGGTCAGCTGTTTATTTTGCTTCAGATTTGGGAATTGTTGTCATCAGCTCACCCTGCTGTTTTGCATTTTTAAGTGCTGCCTTCTGGCAGTCTCATGCAGGTGTTCTGTAACTGAAGGGCTCAAATCCTTCAGCGTCCTTGAAGAGTCCTTGAAGATTTTGCTGTCCCTGTTCCTTTGTGCTGACAGAAAAGTCAATGTGACAAAATGGGTGAGACACAAAACCAGAAGGATCTGAACCCCAGGGCCTGCAGGACCCTGTTCCCTCTCAGGGAGATGGGTTTGGATGGCCCCATTTAAAGCTGACAGACCCAGAGGATGGTGCCTGTCCTGTTGGCCATTCCTTGATAAGATCCCTGTGGTTTGAAGTCATGTTGAGCTTTCTGAGTTTAGAAATAACTCATGGAGCTCATTGAGCATGGGTCCAGTGGGATGAAATGGGGATGAAATGCCATTTTAAGGGAAGGTGTGGAGCACCAGAATAATTTGGATAGCAGCACTCCCTCCTGCTTTGCCTGGGAGACAACAGTCCAATAATTCAGAACCCAGGAGAATGTGGTGTCTAAGGAATGCAGGAAAGGTTTCTCCAGTATCAGATAACTGGTGTTACTCAAAGTGTCTCTGTGCCATCCTATTTCGGACAAGTAACTGAACCAAAGGAGAGACTTTCCTGTGCCAAACAAGTTCTGAGTGCTGCAAAGGAGACAGCACCACTTTGAAGCGCTGTGTGCACATTAAACAGGTTTTTTCCCCAAGCCATGCTGAGTTCTGTGCTGCTCCAATCAGGCTTCCTCCACTTTAATTAGCTCAGGTATCCTGTTTGGATTCTGGACATCCATCTCCTCAGATCCCACAGCCTGGATTAGCCAACTGGCTGTAATTTGGGATGTAAATTCTGGAGGGTGGAGGCCCTCAGCACACACCACACTGCAGGGACCATTTGCAAATGGAAATTCATGGACAGTAACGAGCCCAGACACATTCTGAAGGCAGGGGATTTTAGCAAACTGAGCATTCCTTGTGCTTCAGCTTCCCCAACATTCCATTCCACAGCTGTGCTCGGTGTTCCTGCTCATCCCTGATGTGCTTGTGGCACTTGGACTGACACACCTCCCCTCAGCCCTATCACCCCTGGGTCCCCTCCCTGTCTGTCCCCAGCAGAGCTTTCTCCCTGTCCTCGTCCTTCCCCAGGAGTCCCAAGGGCAGTGTAGCTCCCATGGTCTCCTTATCAGATTTCCCTGGGTTTTTGGGTTTGCTCTCAGCCACTCCTTGGGCTTGGAGTGACCTACAGACATTTACAGACATTCACAGACATTTACAGCCCCATTTCACTGTTTTCTGCCCGGTCCTTCCTCAAAGCTCTCCTTTCCCACGAGGTATGCAAACCTCCTGACAAAGCTTTATGAGCCGTGGCTTTTGATGAATATTTTTTATTATTTCCTTGTTCTCCCCACACTTATTCATCTGCTCCCTTTTAGTCTTTAGTCAGGGTGCTTTCATTGGTGCAAAGATCATCTTTTTGTTCTAGGTTTTTACTTTTGTTTTAACCTTTTGCTGACTTGTTTTTACCCTTTTTATTTGCCTGGCCAATGAGAAGTTTCTAGGCCTTGTATTACCCTGATTCTGGCAAAATACCTGCAAAAATAAGTAATTTTGTGAGTTTAATAACCCACCTGGCTCTGAAACCTGAGCCATACATATTGTTTGTTTTCAGCAATTATAGCTGGGAACAGCAGCAAGGATTTTATCGATCCAGACAAAGGCCAATCTCCTCTGAAATTCTGCTCGGCTGTTAAAGGGTAACTGTGCCTTAATCAATAGTTTTCAGTTACTTTATCTAAAGTACACACGTTTATCACTGAAGAATGTGAGTCTCTCAGCCCTCCCTTAAGAACTCAGAGAAGTTTTATTTCTTACAGGGCCATCCCAGACTGCTGTGAAAATCTCTTGTATCATTTGGATGTGGCACAAAACATAAAGGCATTCTGCAAAGAGCTTCATTAATAGATGATAAATTAATGTCTGGCTCCTCATGGGGTGGCTCAGGGCTGGATGCCTTTCCCAGCACAAGGGAATAATTTTTGGATTGAATTCACGTGGATTTTCCTTTGTTGAGGATTAACAATAAAGGGAATAATTTTTGGATTGAATTCACGTGGATTTTCCTTTGTTGAGGATTAACAATAAAGGGAATAATTTTTGGATTGAATTCACGTGGATTTTCCTTTGTTGAGGATCAATAATAAAGGTTTAATTTACCTAAAATGTCTATGGGTGGTCACACAATTCTTACGTGCCCATCAGTATTACACAGCTTGAATTCTCTGAAAAGGCGAAAAACAACAAGACAGAATTGCAGAAGAAGAATTTAAGGAGTTAATCTGGAGGGGTGGTGGGGGAAGATGAACAACAGCAATACCATGAAAAAGGGAAGCGAAAAGAAAAGTGAGAAAATTCTCAGGCCAAAGTACTGAGTGTTGTAGACACACAAAGCAATAGAAAAAAAAAAAAAGAAAAACCTCCTTCCCAGCCATTAACTTTGCACTCTGGTGCAAAAGCTGAGGCTGCTCTTCTTTTAAAATCAACATTTCATGTGTGCAATCCCTCCTGGTGCTCCCAGGGGAACTTGCCCGTGCTCTCCCTGAACCCTCACCGCTGAAGGCAGCAGTTCCACAGATAAAATAACAGCAGGCCACAAAGATAATGTAACTCTGGAGAAAATACTCTGCAAAGAACTGTCTCCTCACAGCAACTCCAAACAGTCTTAATCCTGAGTGTGAATAGTTAAAAATATTTAACATATTAAAGTCAAACATTGTGGAAATGAATTATAGTTTCAAATAACTCATCCATTTAACCTACACAGGAAAATTTAAAATTTCTTAGCTGTCACCT